TGTGGCAATAAATATCCCCCAAATAGATGGTAGAAATAGATCAGGCTCAGTATAGCCTAATTATAGACTCTTACATTTTAGCTTGAATTGATTTATTTAATTAAAGTACGCTAGATTACTGTGTATGCAAATGTTATGTAAAAAAAAAATACACAAAATAATTTACTTCAAAAATTAGTTTTAATCAGAATCAGTTGGCTGTAATGGTTAATTTTTTTTTTTAGATTTCCACTTTTTTTTTTTTTGTTATTGAATATATAAGAAAACAATAACAATCTCAAATAACAAGTCAATAACAAATATTTCAATACAAGAAGAAATATCACAACTCCTGCTTTTGAAAAATAAAATTAAATGCACAGGCTGGAAAAAAGTATAAAATAAAATAAAATAAAATAAATAAAAATAAATAAAATAATAATAGTAGTTAAAGTAAATTAATCAGTGGGGACTACCAACTGAAATTCTTCAATTAACTTAAACAATTTAATTGCATTTAAATTCTGCATCTTTCTCAGACATCTTTTGAAAAGGGAAAGTTCATTTTTGAGAGCAGAGATTGAGAGGGAGCATTTTGCATAGCGACATTTATGGATATAATACTTTGTTACAATTATTAGAATATTAATTAAAAATTCCAAATTTTTTTTCTTTAATGGATAATCCTAATTAAATGTTTTGCCAGGAAATAAAATCTAAATTTATTGTTTTAGAAGACAGAAAGGTTCGAAGTTGATCCCATAAGTTTAATACTTCTTTACATTCATAAAAAAGATGTTTAGTTGTTTCCAATTGAGTTGTACAAAAGCCACAATTCTCAACATTAAACTTAAATCTCTCTCTTAAAAACTCATTTGAAGGATATATGTTATTTATTATTTTAAATTGTAATTCTTTATATTTAGGAGGAATTGGGAATTTCAAATAATTTGTCCTAATTTTGACTATCATAGATTTCTTAAAATTTTGTAAGAGAGCTGTGCTTTTTGTTCTTCCTGGGTACATATTATTTATAGAATATTGATTCAAAAACTTGTTGTTGCATTTATTATCTCTAATGTCCACCTGCTCAAATTCAATCTTATGGAGACAAACAATTGCAATTGCAAACAATTTATAGGTGCATTACCGCCACCTTCCAGAATGGAGCGACGCGAGCTCTTCTCGCGAGTCCTTCCGTATAACAATGACGTCGTATGTGATTGGAGGAGCCTGATGAGCCTTCGGCCCCATCGTCCAATCACGTGTGAGCTTTTGTGCACTACGACTTCTCGCGAGACCAGCATATTAGCAGACATGTTTGTGTTACTATACTCAGAAGAGCTTCATCTCCAGTTACCGTGTTTGTATTTTGTTGTTACGTGAACAATGGCTGCACGACGTCTCGCGTTCAACTCGCCTCCAACTGCTCTTAGTCCACAACTTTCGGCCAGCCCGCAGACTGACGAGAAGAAACTGCTGATTGCTATCAGCGGACTGTCTCGTCAGCTTGCCCAACATACTGCCGACATGAATGAGCGCCTCACTCAGCTGGAGAATTCGATGCACTCCAGGTTGTAGTCCATAGAGGACAAGATGGCGGCTCTGCAGTTAGGGTGGCCATTTCTATAGCACCAAAAAGGAGGACATTGTGCGGCATATCAATAAATTACTAAGGTGTACATAAGAATCGGGTAAAGTCACATTTATAGCACAATTCTTAGTAGTTTAAAGAGGATGCTTGTGTAGCTGAATAGAACAAAATATTAAAGAAAAGTAAAAAAGAATTGGTTCCCAGCATTTGTATTTATTTAATACATTGTGGTGTTTAAAAAGTGACCATTTTTTTAACACAATTAATTTGCGCAGAACTGCTGCAATTGATCATAAAGCAGTTGTTTGGAAAAGAAGCTCGAGAAAGAGCTAGAGAATAGGACGATGCAAACTGCAAAAAGTGGCTGGAAAAGAGGAATTCATGACATGGCTGCAGCCTGTCGAGAGTAAAGATGATTTCACCATGTTCTCTATCTATCCATATCTATCTATATATCTATCTATCCATATCTATCTATCTATCTATCTATCTATCTATCTATCTATCTATATATATATATATATATATATATATATATATATATATATATATATATATATATATATATATATATATATATATATATATATATATATAAACTTGAGTCATGGAACTGTGCTTACAGCTCCTTATTTCATGTAAACTAATAACTTGTGTACATGATACTTGTTGATGGCATTAAAATTATTTCTAATAGCATTAAAAGAGCATTAAATTAGAACTCCTCATTCCTGTATAAAACCTGTGAACGCTTAATTGAATCTGACATATTAAAAAAATCCCCATCATCATCCAGCAGATGTTCAGTTTCTGCCCAAATATTTTCTTTCTGTTGCCGATTTTTGTAACAGGGATAACTAGGATCATACATAGTTTGTATGAACTGTTTATTCTCTGCTTCCAAACTCATCATCTCTTCATCCATTCCTGCAATAAGAATTTTCTTTTAAAGTTGTGAGATTCACTCTAGAATCTCACAACTTCTTCCTGGTCTGTTGAAGCACCAATAGTCTGCATCCAATTATTTAATTAATTGCTCTTAGTTTTTGGGAATATATACAAACTATGCTCTAACTTCTAGATACCGATCTGTTTTTACTATAATTTAATTTGACAAACCGGGTCTTCTCTACATTCTTTTTTCTGTTTGGTGCGATTGCAATAGCGGGTCTTGATCTGGACGGACCGGAGGGGAGCAAAAAATAGCTCAGCTCCGTATTTTGACGGTGAAGGACGGAGAAGACGTACGTGGGCGGTGACGAGCGGAGGATGTGGAACAGCTCTCATTGATTTACATGACAGACAAGTACTCCGTACGTGAGCGGGGCGGAGCGCTGACGGAGTATGTGGAATCTGGGGGTAAAGGAGGACAAATACATGTCCGGCTGGGTGCAGCGCCGGACGCCGGACAGTGCAATGAAAATCCGGACTGTCCGCCCTAAAGCCGGACATCTGGCCACCCTATCTGCAGTCGAGCAACTTTGCGGGATATACGAACTCGAGGAAGAGAAGACGGGTGCACAACGCCACGCTAGCGGTAAATATATGTTCGATTACTGGTAGCTATGCTAAAAGCAGCCTAGCTTAGCTAGGCAAGCTAAAGACAACCTAGCCTAGCTAGGTAAGCTAAAAGCAGCCTAGCCTAAAGCTTTATTAAAGTGTATTTTTTGTGATTCACAGGAAGCATTATGCCGTCTTAACAACTCGGAGACTAATTGCAGGCGCTATGAACCGGGGCAGGGGTAAGGTTTAAAGAATATGCTTTCATTCAGCGGTAAAAGGACATGGATACGGATGGATACCGACCATAGCTGTACTTTTTTTTTTTTTCACAGACTACAGTCGCCTCACAATGAGGCGGTGACCTCCTATTTGCTCGGATTTGCACGATGTTGATAAAGACGACATTGTGTGTAAGTGACTTGTTTTAATGTTTTCTCCTTCCTTGTTACTGTGACTTGCGTTTGATTTTTTTTTTTTATTCATACCACTCTCATTTAATTGTTTTCCAGCTGCCTGTAAGACGTATTATGAGACGGTATGCAGGAGCTTCAGATACACGCTGCTAGCCAGCACGCTGCGTGCTGAGGCTATCTGCTCGGAGTCGGGCCAGAAGAAAGAGGGTAAGACTTTATTTGGTGACTATTTTTCAGGTGCATTGATAGATGTGTTGTGTCCATATGCAGTGCGCTGATTCATTGTTTTTTTTTCAGCTGCTGAAGGCGAGGCAGAGTGTGCTATCAGATGAGGAAGTGGAACTCTGTAAGTCCGCCACCGTCGACCTCATGTCCGACGAAGATGATGGCGTCGTCGGCGGTGTCTCTGGATGGATTGTACGGTCGCTGCCATTTCGTAGGCCGGATCTCACTGAACTCTGTGTTAAGCTGCAGTCCCGGTTAGAAGCGATGCCGAAGTACAGGGCCACGCACAGTATGCGTCTGCACATCGGACCTGCCTCGGAGGGAATGCTGCCAATTACCTCCCACCCCGAGGAAGCAAACGGACCGTTCACGGAGTTGTAATTTTTAGATACGCATGTGTTTGGATATGCGTTGTATATAGTTGTGTGTGTGTTTTAATAAAGCTCTTTCTTTGCATAAACAGCTTCCTGGCAAATCTTCATTTCCTGTATAAATTAATTCATGTCCTTGATGGTAACATAATAATTGTGTAGTAGTGTAGGATAACATAAATACACAGCATATGAATGAATAAATATATGAATGAATAAATATATGAATATATATATATGAATATATGAATATATATATATATGAATGAATAAATATATATATATATGAATAAATATATATATGTAAATATATATATGCCAACCAATCACGAGCGACTTTACTTGTTTAAAAAGAAGTGGTTCCGTCCAATACTCAGTAAGAAAATTAAAGCCTGGCGTGGCCACGTGTGGTTTTGCTGCCAATCACGAGCGATTTCATTTGTTTGAGAATAGTGGTTTCAGCCAATACTGAGTAGGTTATTCAAGCCAGACCTGGCCAGCCGCGCGGGTTTGCTGCATTCATATGCTAATTAGGGCCATTAGTACAGCTGATCGCTCTCCACATACGTCAGAGTCCGTTTCCGACAATTTGTGGCACGACAAACGCGGACAAGCACGGGTTGCAAATTGTCGGAAACTGATGAAAATCAGGCAGATCTGCGGGAGTTTACGGGGACGAAAATCTCACTTTTCATGCAGTGAAAGTACAAGCATAAAGATGCCACAGAAAACAAAACAGCAGGATAGGTGTGTATAAACATACACACCTATCTTTTATTCTGTTTAATGTATTAACGGATCCAGCGTTATTAAAATAAAATGAAAGTCTGACAGATCATGACATTCAAACTTTTGTAGTCTTTGCTGTTAGAGGCTCGGAACCTTGGACCCAATATTCAAGCAGGCAGATCTGGATGATTTCAAACAAGCTTTTATTTAAACAAAAAAAGCCTGCGACTGCTTGTCAGCTGGGCAGATAAACCGGATCCTCTGTAGAAATAGAAACTCAAGTTAGTGACTTAGAATAAAAGACTGGCCATGACTATGAGCAAAAGTCACTAACCTGGTTCTGAGGTCAGTTCCATCCAGAGGAAGGAGTTGAATTCAAATGGGATATTTGTTCACACCTTGTAGTGGGTGCGGGCCTCACAATTCGGTGTGAAGAGCAGAGGAGCAACAGTGTCCCTGAGGGAAGATCCAGAGCTGAAGTCGAAGCGGAACCAGGTTAACAGAGCAGAAGATCAGAGAGCTGAGGAGGTACCATAATAGAATCCAAGCTTAGGTCAGAAGAACAATCCAAGTTCGGTAAGCTGGCAGAATCCAGGAATCAGTCCAGAACAAAAACAAATACCTGAGAAGACAGGATCAAAGCAAAACTCGGGAGTTCCAGAAGCAGAAACAGATCAGAAATCAGAAACAAAACTTATTGTCATCGGACATTTCTTTATTTTCTCTCTAGCTCTGTAAACAAATGACTGTGTCTCAGCAGAACTATCTTGTCGATAAAACTCTACCATTTTGACTCTGTAAATGCTCTAATCCAGGAAAAGGACGACGACCCTGTCAATGATGAGATAGACATAGATCAACTGATCCACTGGTGCAGTCAGATTTACCTGGAGGTAACACACTAAAACCTGTGGAAATGACACCAGGCAATACCTCAAGAGAATACTCCCCATATCAACTGCTCCCACCATTCTTAACAGCACCATGTATTTTGTTTGAATTGCTAGTGAAGATTAATATTTTATGGTCTGCCACAAATGAAGACACTATTTATATTAAACATTCCGATAATTCAGTCAGTCTCTGTCCATCCCTATGTCACAGTCATGAAACAGGACAGGGCTAGACTGCAGCAATAACGTCTAAATTCATACATAAACGGTGAGCACACATTTGTATATATTTGTTTTTAATCTGCTATATGTTTTTCCTATATTCAATGTTTGTACTCTGTGAGCATGTAAAACGGATTTGAAATTCCTTGTTTGTGTACATCAACTCAGCCAGTAAATTTTCTCACTGAATATAATTAATGGAGTTTGAAGGCTTCAAAGAAGACATCCCATTAAGCACATTTCAAGGGAACATCGGCAGCCCATCTGTTCAGCTGGCTGTTATGTCGTTTCATATTGGTAGTGAGCTGATATGAAATGAAGAGTGAGTGAATGGGTGTTTAATATGAGGTGCTAATACTGTTTAATGTCAGGGCTGGGAGTTCTACTGGAACAGGACTTATTGGTTGCTCTTCACAGTCAAACTTTCGTCATCCAACTCTGAAGTGTCTGGGTAAATAGCAGGCTAGAGCTTTGTTTTCCCAATTTTTATTACATTAATCTAGTTCCTACCACATACACTTTTTTTTAAAATTTGATAGCGAATAGCTAGGTTTTTGTTATACTCTAACATATGTAGTGAAAAAGATAAAACAAAGTGTCTTTATTCTGCTTTTTTTCTTTTTTGTTTAGTTCAACTGCTTTTAATGTTTTTTCTTGTTTCTGCATCTTTTTTATTATTTATTTTGTATTCTACTTCCTCTGATTGTGTTTTATTTTCCTATATTTTAATTATGTAAAGCACTTTGCATTGTCTTTGTACTGAATTGTGCTAGTCAAATAAATTTGCCTTGCCTTGCCTGTTTATTTTATTTACATAAAAATAAAGTTAAGGCCAGAAAACAGCATTTAGACAACCAGGCAGTTAAAAGAATAGCTGTTCTACTCATTTAATCACATCTTCAAATAAGCAGTTTAAAATTTTATGTAGTAAATTTCAAAACAAAGGCTACCCCAAGCTCTGAGATTTTTGTGCTTATTCAGTATATTCTTTTGAGATTCGGCAAAGAGCTGACTCAAGTTAAAAGCTACGCTGAGTATGATCTATGAGATGGAGTTGAGGCTCCAGGACTCAGTTATGGGAATTAAAATATCAGATTTATTACAATGCAACATGTACAGAACTTGCAAACAGTCTTTCACTCTGCAAGTAGCCTGGTGGAGGAAAAAAAAAGAAGATAAATCAGGTAATCAATCCGTTTACAGCATGACATATTGACCTGAAAATGTAAAACCTGAGTATTGAGGCCGTGAAAACTCCAACTATCTAGCTCTGGAGGCACAGGCACTTAGGTCAGGGTCTCTCAGCTCTGACATTTAATAGAAGTGACTCTCAGGGCTAAATTCATTTCATGCAAACACGCTCCTTTCAACCAGACATTATTTTTGAGGACAAAGGGAGTTTCGGGGTCTGAATTCCTCTCTGAGCTGGGCAGTTTGGAGGTCTGGTGTCAATCACTCAGCTGTAAACCATAAAGAGTCAGTTTGATTGTTGTCTTTTCAGTTAAAGTGACTTGTGAACCTTCTTAGACAGTCTCACATACACAATTCATAAAGTATATTAACACTTCCTTAGGTTTAAAAACCTCAGTACTACTAAATGTCATCCTCTTAGGGTAAAAACAACCTTGGTATATAGAGGTGGCCAAATATATTGGTTGCGATATGAAAGATTTAAGGAAAATATTAAAACAAATAATTCTTCTGCAGAGGGATAATCTCATACAAATACAAAAAATAAGCTGTATTTATCAATTTAAATACAGGAAAGGCAGTATTAAAAAAATAAGTGCTTTTGTAGAGTTTTAAAGATATTTTTTAGTAAAATATATACAATATCTCTTTAACTGAACTTAGCCACTGCATACACAAAGCAAAAAAAATAAAAATTGTTTGAAAACTGCAATCAATAAAATTATGCAATATATATCACAGGTTTGCATGAAATTTATGTTTAAGAACAAAGTTTAATCTTAATGAGATTAAAATGAGTTAAACTAGCTTTAAACTAATTTAGAGCAAATGTGTTTAAATCCGTTTACAATGCAAATCAAAGATGTAAGTATGAAATCAATAACCTTTAGATAATTGATTCTTAACCATCTTTGATTGAGCTGGCAGCTGGCTGGCCTGAGGAGACTCCTCTTAAATTACTATTATGACTCTTATTTTGGTAATCAAATGTGTTAAGCTTATGAGGAAACTCATAAACGTGAACTTTTAATGAGTGTTTACATTCTTGGTGAAATTAAGTTTGTTTTTTGCTTAATAAGCAACAGCTCAAAACTTGTTATTGTGGGTTACCATGTAGTGTGGTCCTGTTACTCTGCCTCCTAGTGATGATGCATCCTGGCTACTTGAACAGGGGAATATCAGCGTGCTTGAATTTCTGCTGGAAGTAGGGGGATTGAATCCTTCCCATGCCCTCTGTTGTTTACCTAGCCACAACAGCATAAATTATACAAACTATTGATAACTTTATTTTCCAGCCAAAGATTTGCAGTGGTCCAGGTTTGGTGAATCCCAGAAAGTCCTGTGCAAAGATGATTTCCTGCACTTTTCAATAAACTGAAGGTTTGTACTTTGAAGAGTGGATTGGGTTTAAATAACTCCACAACAAAACAAGAAATGAATTAACATAAATCCTAAATATGTTTAGAACCTGATAAGCAGCAGATCATTTTCTATGTCCTATCACACACAGTATAAACCTTAAATTGAAGCAGCTGCACTCTAAATATAGCAGCTGCACTTAAAACTTTCCCAAACTAGGATGATAACTTTGAATTGTCACTGTAATATTGAACTACATCAATTCATTGTATCCTTGTATTCATTTACATCTACTTTGTCAAAAGTCTAATCTTGCTTGTATATTTCTATTTTCTTTTGTTATTTTTTTCAAAACTGGCAAACCGTAGACTCCCTGTGGAGTGCAAGATATTTCGTACTGTTCTTCAGGTGTTTAATTTGCCCTTTTATTATGTTACCTTTTATTTATTTATTTATTTTTTTTTCAGTGAATTTTGGTAATTCGTTATTAGAACAGAAAGACCTAGGGTACAAAGGGTACAAAGCTGCATCTGGTATGTGTAGTGACCTGAGGGACCAGAAGGGTCAGATTTGAGCTAACATGACAGCAACCAGCTGCTGCAGTCTGTGTCTTGAAGCAAAATGAGTTCCTGCCAGGTCCACATAACCTGCTCAGTATTTGACATTTAGTTGAAAATATAGGCAAACAGGTCATACATTTTGAGGTGAAACTGCCCTCTTTTATCTTTGAATGCCACCAACCATCTGATTCCACTTAAGTAGAGTTACTTGGGTGATAAATGCCATTTCCACCCACAATAATTATAATTATTCAACATTTAATATACCAAATATAGTGTGTTGGACAATAGACAATAGACCACATATTACATGCACTTGTCGAGTCCATCTTTTCACAGCTTAATTAAAATGTTGTAGCTAAAGTCTAGTTCTTGATTGGATCCGTATCACCATCTGTAAAAAGTGTCTGGAACAAACATGTAAAAATTGCCATTATTTGTGTACTTCAAGGTTTCAAGGATTCAAGGCTTACTTCAAGGATGGACTATTGTAATTCTTTACTATCAGGAAGTCCATAAACTGTAGTTAAAAGCCTTAAGCTTATCCAAAATGCTGCAGCCAGTGTTATATATCTCCTATTCTAGCTTCTGATCATTGGCTTCCTGTCAAATCCAGGATAGAATTTAAAATCGTCCTTCTCACATTTAAAGCCTTAAATGGCCAAGCTCCATCTTATATCAGAGATCTGATTGTTCCTTATGTTCCTAATAGAGCACTTCACTCTCAATCTGCAGGTTTAGTAGTGGTTCCTAGAATTTCTAAAAGTAGAATGGGAGGCAGATCTTTTAGTTATCAGGCTGCACTCCTGTGGAACCAACCAGTTTTAGTCCATGAGGCAGACACCCTGCTACTACTACTTTTAAGGGTAGGCTTAAAACTGTCCTTTTTGATAAAGCTTATAGTTAGAGATGCTCAGTTTATCTTGAGTTGTCTCTATAGGCTGCTATATGCTGCTATAGGCTTAGACTTCTGGAGGATGTAGGAACCCCGTTTTCATCATTTCGGTTCATTTTATCTCTATTCTCACACTGCAGAATCTGTTAGTTCAATCTCTAATGTTATGCTATCTCTGCTTTTTCTCATAGTATCTTTGCCTCATCTGTTTCTTTTTGGCTGTGACACACTTTTGTTAATATATGTTGGAGATCAGCCTTTCTGGAAACAATGGAAAGAGTGACCCTACAACCAACTTGAGTGAGTTATAGTTAACAGTTACCTTTTGTATATTTGCTTCTTTCTGTACGTCTGCTGCTATGTCTCCTTGAACTCATTCGGCTTACAGTAGGAGATGGCCGCTCACACTCAGCTGGAGATTTCTTCCTGTTAAAAGTTAGGGTTTTTTTCTCTCCACTGTCGCAACATGCACTCTTGGTGTGAGGGATGCTGAAGAGTCAACAACAAAATGCAAGTGAATATTGTTGCCACAAGCTAATCCAGGAGGAGCAAATAAATGACTGGATGGAAAGAACTG